GGGAGGGCAAACAGAAAAGAAAGCGTCATGGGAAGAAAGAGATGTCTGAGATCATAAAAGGGACTACAAGTGCTTAGATTTTATTAGCAGTTCAGCAAGTCCTTCTGGGAGAGAAAGTCATGGGCATTAGCAGCAGCAGTGGTTCCCTGCGAGCATGGCCTTGATAAGAGCAAAGGAGGAGCTGTGAACAGTGTTTACTGCTTCCATATATGGCAATTTCAGGAAATAGGATTTTGTTAAACCCAATCCCTAATGGATTTTGTTCCTTCTACTTGAGCTTTTGGAGATCACTGCAGCTCCAAAAGTAACAAACACAAATCTTTAATAGAGAGAATATTCAGGAATGTTCAAGAGAAAAAAAATTGTTAAGCAAAGCATAGTGGAACTCAGTGCTCCACAGGAAATACATGTCTGTAAAATACCAAGTAACTTGAAACTATTTCAAGTCACACTTAAGTCATAAAGTATAGACAAATGGGACAGAGGTGTGCAACTATATTTGAAAAATCTTATTTTGTAAGATGGATATTTGAACTAAAACCAGCCTTAATAAAAACCAAGGCTAACTTATCTACTTTCAATTCTCTTCTGGAAATCAGATTAGAACCGGCTCCTCTTTTCAGAACAAGGTCTAGGAGGGCGGGAGACCCACAGGCCCACCTGGACATTCATTCCACCAGCTGGATGGGGGGAGAGGTGATGTGTGCAGCTGAGGGACACCAAGTGAGCATCTTGGACAAAGATTGGGTAATCCGAGGAGGTGGGAAAGTGGGAGAGAAAACTGCGTGGGAGAGGGCCACAGGCTCCAGCTAGCTTTCGACAATGCTGAGAAGTGCATGCCAGCAAGAATCACATCCACCGTGACACGTGGCCACAAGCTATTGATGTCCAGCGAAATAGCATGAAGGGCACTGAGAGAGTTGGGCCACTCACCCCACAGGATGAAGTCTGCCCAGAGCAATCCTGAAACTGGGAGTTGGCTCCAATACATGCTATCCTTCACTCCAAATATCATGAGTGAGTTAAAACAAAACAGAACCAAAAATATCTTGACTAAAGGGTCAGCCAAAAGTTAGGAGAATTCTATATTATTCCAAAACTGCTATATAAATAGCATAGGAGAATTTATACAGCATCTACTTCTTTACTTGATTATGGTTTTTCCATTACTCAGGACTTAAATTCTCTTTGCCCTCCCTACACATTGATGCATTTCCTAATCATTTGAACCAAGCTGGCCTTATTGTATGAAATTTATTTTCCCGGTATACAGACTGAACAACTTCAAACTCTAAGTATCCACTACTGACAAACCTCCTTAGATATTAGTTGCTTGGATGTGTCTAATTAAAAACAGAAGCACAGATTTTAAATACTTTTTATTGAGTTGAGAATTTTTCCTATATGGTCACTTCCCCAAATTGTTAAGATTCTCTTTGTTCTCAGGCTTCCGAGGAAAAGAAGAATTAGTCCAGCTGTGGTTGGAGGTCCATCCACACCAGTTTTGGATGTGCAGGCCCAATCGCTGTCCCCTGGGAAGGGCAGTGTTGCCCACACCAGCCCACCGAGGAAGGCTGGCCCACCCCTCAGCACTCACTGCCCTTCCCCTCCACTCCCCCAGCGAAGACAAATCAACAGAAATCCAGGCAGGCCCTTCTAGCTGCTGCCTTTTAATTACCCTGACACAATGTGTTTCTGTTCAAATACATAATCAGGAAAGCACGCAGGCGCTGGTCCATTCAGAGAATTGGAGAGAGAGATAGCAAAGACCCAGAGGCAAGCTCCCGGGGGGAACATGAGGCTCGAGTTAAGGGCTCTATTTGCAGAGCCTGTGGCAGATGCAACAGTGCGGTGCCTGTCCGGCTGTGAGGCTTCACAGGCGCTGGACGTAAGAAACTGTGCGGCTGAGATGGATTTTTCCACCAAGCCAGGAAGCTGAGGACACGGAATGTGTGAACCGCTCAGGAGAAGCCCAGGCGCCTCTTCCAACCTGAAAGCTCCTTCCAGTCCCGTAGAAAACGAGGGCTGTCTGGGGTCAGCCACCCTTCTCCCAATCAGACCAGGAAAGGCACCCAGAAAGGGAACAGACATGGCTAAAGGATTCCTTGAAGAAGACAAATGATGTGAAGAGACATCTGCAAAGGTGATCTGCAAGTGATTTCCAATCCTAGTCAAACCGGAAACCCACTGTTTGAGGACATGAGCATGTGCTGGCTGGAAGGCCATGCTCCTGGGAGGCCAAGGCCGGTCAATCTCTACTTCAATTCTGCCAACCCAAGTGGAGTCACACTTAAATCAACAACTCCCTCCCTCTCTCTTCTCTGGGTCTCTCTGGCTCAGGATAAGACAGCAAGGAGAGCTCAGCTCTTGAGTCATGACAGACCTCACATAATT